AAACAATCAAACAAACAATCTTATTTTGTTCTGGCACAGAATGGCCATTATTGTGTCTATGTGCTTCTCTTTACTCAAACAAACAAACAAACAAACAATCAAACAAACAATCTTATTTTGTTCTGGCACAGAATGGCCGTTATTGTGTCTATGTGCTTCTCTTTACTCAAACAAACAAACAAAAAAACAATCAAACAAACAATCTTATTTTGTTCTGGCACAGAATGGCCGTTATTGTGTCTATGTGCTTCTCTTTACTCAAACAAACAAACAAACAAACAAAAACACAAAACAATCAAACACCCAATCATATTTTGTTCTGGCACAGAATGGCCGTTACGGTGTCTATAATGTGCTTCTCTTTACGCATTGCACAACAATCAAATCACTTTTGTTCTGTTCTTTGGGGGGGTGGGGTGGGGGGGGGGGGGGGCTGCTCTCGTGGAATAGAAGTTAAGGTTTTCGCCTCTCTTTCAAAGGTCCCAGGTTTGAATCCAGGTAGGGACGGCTAGTAATGTTCTGTAGTGTGCTTTCGTCTCTATTTTCTTCCTCCCATCCCCTCACCTTCTTTGCCCCTTCCTCTGGACTCCTGACTCTTTCTAGAGTCTTTCTACTGCTACTCCTTGGCTCCTTCTTACTGCTGTCTCGGTCTTTCTTTCTTTCTCTCACTGTTTTATATCCCCCACCCCTCTCTCTCTCTCTCTCTCTCTCTCTCTCTCTCTCTCTCTCTCTCTCTCTCTCTCTCCCTTCCTTTCTCTGTGTCGTGTTGAACAGTCAAACAAAAAATAATAACGGACAAAGAACGCATTCCTTTTTCCTCTTTATTTGTAAGAAAAAAGATCTCATTGCAGATGATATTGTCGAATCTTCTAAAAGATAGTATCTTCTAATCTTTTCCTCTTCATTGGTTTAAAAAAGGAACGCAATGCAGATCATAGTTTTGAATTTTCCAGAAGATGTACACTAACTTTTCCCTCTTTATTCAATTTTTCATCATTCCATCCTCCTGCGTGTATCATCCGTGCAACCATGACGTCATCTAGGCCTCGGTTGTTGGTTTCCGGCAGAGCAAAGATGAGAACACAGCACAGCAAGGTTAGCGCCGCCATTACCACGAACGAAATAAACATGGCCGCCGCCTCACGTGGTAGCATGTAGGGAGCCCCGATTCCGCCAAATCTGGCAGCTACGTAGCAGAATGAAACAGCCAGGGAACGTACCGAGGTGGGGAACAATTCCACGACAAAAGGCAGGATGAGATCCCAGCTGAGACCCAGGAACATGGAGATGGTGAGAGTGAGGCCCGTCACAACGTTCCCCGAGGAATCTTCATCTAAGACAAAGCTCAGGATCACGATCGTCACAGAGGCTGAGAAAGCGACTGCCAGTAAGATGATGGATCCCCATCGTCTGCCCAGCTTGTTGCCCAGGAGCGGGACCAGAGGGAAGGCTGGCATCATGATAGCCGTGAGGAGAATAAAGTTGAGGTAAAAATCACCGAAGAGAGAGCCGATACCAAAACCGATGGCGTAGTACATGACGGAGAGGAGGAAGAAAATCAAACAGCAAAGTACAGTCTTTTTGATGAGGCTCCTTCGAAACAGTTGAACGACGGTGGCTCGCTTGTCCACGGTACCTCCCTCGCAGCACGAGAAGTCGGTCACGTGGTCGTCTGGGATGGGCTTTCCGTTGTACCTGCAGATCTTGAGAGCCACGCCCCTGGCTTCCCGCGCCCTCCCGTGGACCGCCAGCCACCTCAGGCTCTCCGGCGTCCACCACACAGGCAGCAGAGCCAGCCCACACATCACCGCCGTGGCCATGTGGATGTGCTTCCAGTCTTTCAGAACGTACACGCACACACTGAAACTCAGAACTCCGACGTTCCAATTGGGGAACCCGCCTATAAAAGCGCGCCATTTCCCGGTGGTGAATTCAAACGGGTACAGCTGACAGCTGGATAAAAGACCTCCGACGCTGATGCCTATAAAAAATCGAATGGCGGCGTACATTTTCCAGTCTAGGGCAAACACGGCGATGATGTTAGTGAGAGCGAGGATCAAGTCCCACAGGTACATGTTCTTTTTCCGACCGTAGCGCTCACCGATCTGTCCCGCGATGAATGACCCCGCCATGACCCCGAACATTTGAATAGAAATAATGAGGGAGCCAAGCCATGCGCGGTCACACACGAGGGACCACTCGGTGACAATCGTGGAGGAGTCGGGGTCGAACCTCATGTTAGAACAGGACTCAGCCTGGCTGCACTTGTCTGTGTCCAGTGTAGTGCTGTTGGCTGGGGTCGTGTATGACGTCATAGTAGACAGGACTGACGTCACAGTAGATAGTGATGACGTCACAGTAGACAAGGGCGTGGCCGTGACTGGTGGGAAGGACATTATAGAAGACTGGTTACCTGTGGGAAGGACATTCTAAAAGAGACTGGTTGCCTGAGGGAAAATGAGGTCAAGTGTGAAGTGTGAGTCAGGGAATCTGGAGAGGAAAGAAGACCGAGGTCTGCTGTGTAGTGATTAGGCGCCTCACTGTCGCTCGCAGGAGACCCGAGTTTGATTCCTGAAAGGAAAGGGGGGGGGGTGTTTATTATTGAATATCTCCGTCTTTGTGCTGGTGCGATGACGTGTACCTCCCAGCTTAGACTGTCCCTGACAGACAGGGTCGGATACCTGTCTCCTAAATGATCTAAATGTGTCAATGTAGGAATAAAAAGACCTACATTAAATAAACAAACGTATCACATCGTATTGTATTGTGTCATGTTGTATAGTCTCGTATCGTATCGTTTCGTATCGTATCGTATCGTATCGTATCGTGTCGTGTCTTGTCTTCAAAGATCGTACATAACAAGATACTTCACTCAGCCAAATATGTGTCCACGGAAGTCCGCGCATTGGTTCAGATACCGCTGCATTCTTTGTTTTGAAGCTCTCTTTCGTTTCTCCAGAAGAAGAATAGGAATAGCACAGTTTGTTAGTTTCACTTTAATTGTTTTTCACACATGTAGGGTAACTCTTATCGCAAAGTCCGCGCTTTTTCGAAGAGGGCGCCACCGAATTTTGAAGACACTTTTTTAATTGGCTCAAAGAGAGGAGGGAACTATCTTGTTATGTACGATCTGTGTTGTCATATCGTATAGCATCTTATCGTATCTAATCTTATCTTATCTTATCTTATCTTATCTTATCTTATCTTATCTTATCTTATCTTATCTTATCTTATCTTATCTTATCTTATCTTATCTTATCTTATCTATTATATTTTATCTTGTCCTAATCGTATCTATCCTATCTTATCTTATCTTGTCTTTATCTTATCTTATCTAAATCATATCTTACGTGTAGCTGTATTGTTCAAACATGTCCAGCCCGGGTCGAAGTTTCCAAAAGACATGAACATCATCCCCCAGGCCCCGGCGAAATTGAGGAGGAAGGCGGCGGCTGTAGAGAGAATCTGGAACATTCCACAGCCAGCCACGTCACAGACGAAACGCTCCAGCTTGTCCTCCATTGTTGGTTCTCTGGAGGAGGGAGGAGGGAGAGGGTGAGAGGGTGGGAGAGAGGGTGAGAGGGTGAGAGGGAGAGGGTGAGAGGGAGAAAGGGGGAAGACAGAGGGGGAGGGAGGAGGGAGAGGGTGAGAGTGTGAGGAGAGGGTGAGGAGAGGGAGAGGGTGAAAGAGAGAAAGGGGGAAGAGAAAAGGGGTGAGAGAGAGAGAGAGAGGGTGAGAGAAAGGGTGAGAGAGACAGGGTGAGAGGATGAGAGAGAGAGGGTGAGTGAGAGAGAGAGAGAGGGGGAGAGAGGGTGACAGAGAGGGGGTGAGAGAGATGGTGAGAGAGAGACAGGGTGAGAGGGTGAAGTCATCGGGAAGTTGACAGTGTCAGGCGTGGCAAAGAAAAGATGGGGACGCCGCACAGACACCCAAGACAGGAGGCAAGGTCCAGTAAACAATCACAAGACAATGTACCTTTGTGAGGAGGACGAGACAAGATTAACTGTAAAGCATGCGGACTAAGTCACCTGAGACAGCAGTGCCCAGAATATGGGAAGACATGCCACAAATGTTCCAAACAAAACCACTTTGCATCTCAATGTTTTTCTACAGGGCAAAATAAAGCAGCAGCAGCATGGAAATCCAACTCGTCAAGGAGATCAATACATGTGATTGAAAATGAAAGGTCAGATGAGGATGACGATGACGAAGTTGTCCAGGACTTCTGGATAGGAGCTATAGAGAACAAGTCTGGAAATAGTTGGCTTGCGCATGTTAAAGTACAAGGCCAGATAGTCAAAATGAAGGTAGACACAGGCGCGGAAACAAATGTTCTGCCAGCAAAAATCTGGAACCTGTTGAAGAGAAAGCCCAGATTAAATCCGTCAAAGGTTGAACTCATGGCTTTTGGAGGTCAGTCTGTTCAGCAAATTGGGACAGCTAACATTAACTTTGAAGTAGGAAAGCAAACAGTTCACCACCCCGTGTTCATCACACAAAAAAGCACTTGTCCAGTATTAGGACTGAAGACATCATTAGCCTTGGAGCTAGTTTCACCAGGAAGAAATGAAGAACATTTACAGGTCAATTCGTTAAAGGAAAAGTTGATCACACAAGAAACACTGCGGACAGAATATGGGGATGTCTTTGAAGGACTAGGATGTTTTCCAGGAGAATATCACATTGAGCTGAAGGAAGACAACGAACCAGTTATTTAACCTCCTAGACGAGTTCCGTCGACACTTCTGAAACCCTTGAGAGAGAAATTGCAAGACATGGAACAAAGGCAAGTCATCACACCGGTCGAAGAACCAACCGATTGGGTCCACAACATAGTCATTGTACAGAAAGCAGACCAATCACTGAGACTTTGTTTGGATCTGAAAGAACTGAACAAGAACATAAAGCGAAAACAGTTCGAAATACCAACGTTCGAAAATATCTCAGCGTAACTAGAAGGCACACAAGTGTACAGCATATTGGACCAAAAAGATTCATATTGGCAGGTGAAATTAGATGCACCGAGTCATACCTGACAACTTTCAATACGCCTTTTGGAAGGTATAGGTTCTTAAGAATGCCGTTTGGAATAAGCAGTGCCTCAGAGATTCTGCAAAAGAAAACTTTTCAAACTTTTGGAGACATAGAGGGAGTGCATTGGTTGGCTGATGACACTTTAATAGCAGCCAAAAACGATGAAGAACATGACAAGATCATGCGCAAAGTGCTTTAACAGAGCAAGAGAAAGCAATGTGCATTTCAATGAAAACAAATCACAACTCAGAAAATCAGAAGTCAAGTACATGGGAAGAATCATTTCCAAGGATGGTATAAAACCAGACTCTGCAAAGGTTAAAGCCATAAGTGAAATGCCACTACCAGAAGATAAAACTGGAGTCAAAAGACTACTTGGGATGGTAAATTTCCTGAGCCCATTCATCCCGAATATGTCTACCATAACAAGCCCACTGAGATCTCTGCTAAAGAAAGATGTGCCATGGCATTGGTACCCTGAACACACAGAAGCAGTGAACAAACTAAGAGAAATATTGAGCCAAAATCCTGTACTGAAACTGTTTGACTCAAAGAAGCCAGTGACAATCCAGTGCGATTCTTCAACAAAGGGACTAGGGGCATGCTTGCTCCAGGACAACCAACCGATCGCATATTCATCAAGATCTTTGACAGAGACAGAAGCAAACTATGCAAACATTGAGCGTGAACTCCTAGCGATAGTGTTTGCTGCTGAACAATTCCACCAATTCATTTTTGGAAGAGAAGTACTGGTGATCAGTGATCACAAACCATTAGAGACGATCTTGAGAAAACCATTGCACAAAGCTTCGCCAAGAATTCAACTGATGATGTTACGACTACTCCGATACAAACTGGATGTTCAGTACAAACCCGGATCTCAGCTATACATTGCTGACACATTGAGCAGAGCCTCACCACCGTTAACACATCAAGATAGACAGGAAATTCACCAGGAGGAAATACTGAGAGTACACTGTACGACAGCCACAATGCCTGCCACAACAGAGAAACTCAAACAAATCCAAAAAGAAACCAAGTCTGACAGGATACTGAGAGATGTTTTACAATGGGTGAAAAATGACTCATGGCCTCAACAGAAAAAATGTCAATGACAGAAAGACACTACTACAAACTGAGACATGACACGCATGAGGAAAATGGAATGTTATTCTTCAATAACAGAATGGTCATACCTGAAACCATGAGGTAAGAAATGTTAACCAAACTGTACACAAGTCACCTTGGCATCGACAAAAGTAAGACCAGAGCCAGAGAGAGCATCTATTGGCCAAGAATATGTACTGACACTGAGGAGAAGACGAAGAAATGTGAAATTTGCTCTTGTAATCAACCACAAAATGCTAAGGAACCGATGATTCCTCACGATCCACCATCTATCCCTTGGGTCAAACTAGGAGCAGACATTTTTGAATTTGGGGGAAAATCATACCTTCTTGTGGTGGATTATTATTCAAAGTATCCTGAAGTAGCATACATGAACAACAAAACAGCACAGTCGGTGATCAGGGCCTTAAAACCAATTTTTGGAAGACATGGGATACCACAGGTACTCTTCGCTGACAACATGCTTTTCTCCAGCTACAAAATGAAACAATTTGCCACAAGCTGGAACTTCGAAATAAAAACATCAAGTCCGAGGTATCCGCAGTCAAATGGCCAAAGTGAGCGTTTCGTCAACATTGTCAAAACAATGTTCAGGAAATGTACTGAGGAAGGATCTGATCCTAATCTAGCTCTACTTGGATATAGAAACACTCCTATCACAGGTTTGCCGTACTCTCCAGCCCAGCTGCTCATGGGCAGAAAATTGAATGACCTGGTACCAACGGATCCCAAGATGTTAAAACCACAACTACCTGTTGATGCTCCATACCTGCTTCAGCAAAGAAAAATATAGCAGAAAAAACACTACGACCGACACACAAAGAGTCGTCCAGAACACCACGTGGGAGACAGTGTACGAGTGCACACAGGAAGATCCTATAACTGGGAAAAGGGAGTCGTCACCGGTATGAGCCAAGCACCTCGATCTTACTTCGTCACAACAGAAGATGGTACAACGTGGCGACGAAACTCCAGAGTCATCAATAAAGGCAAACACACTCCTGTTATCAAGGAACCGTCTAGCTTTGATGAAGACGAGCACCAGTCAAAACGTCCCAGGTCGAGTTCCCAAACTCACCACCAAGGGTCGAGCTGCCATGCTCATCCTACAACAATGCAACACAGTACAATGGACCTGCATACACTACTAGGTGTGGTCGTGCGGTGAAAATGCCGAAACGTTACACTGAATATGTATTGGTCTTTTGTAACATTTTGCATACAATGTTTATACATTTGTGTGTCCCGTACGGTCACAACATTGCATAAACACTAAGTGGAACATTTGTTGGACACTAACTCCAATAGAGCGATTGTATTTGAAGGATTTGTTAGCAA